TAACATACTTGGGCTTGCAATCATAAGTTTGGGCCACGAATGATCATTTATTCGAATCGAGACAAAATTTAGCGCTATGTTAAGCAATCGTAAGTGGACTTATATAGAAGTTGCACCTATTTTGAGGCCGGTCAATAGCAATCTATGCACCATTTGTTTTGAGACATGACATAGAGATCATGCTCCAACAACATTTAGTGCAATAAGAAAGGGGATGAAATGAAGAGGAATTAGGGTAAAAAGAAAAACCACATTTAAATTAATATTTAATCAAACTATTATTAAAATCATTCATCCATTTTTTGTGGAGTTAAACTCAACACCATGGATCCAATGATGTTAATAAAGCCATGATCAAAAAATCAACCCAAGACAGTCAGAAAATATTCACAAAATGATATAGCATTTAATATATATATATTAAAGGATTAAAAATGTTAAAATAAACTAGAAAATAATGAAGAAAATATCAATTATTTGTTCAAATTATTCAAGAAATGAAAAATTAAACCATAAAAAAATCATAAATGGATCCAAACATTTTTATAAAATTTTTAGTAATTTTTAAAAGTCAGAAACTATTTTTAAACCATTTAAAATTGCTAAAACAAACATAAAAGAGATCAAAAACAGTAAACCTCAACATAAAATTCCATAAAATTTTCAGAAAGTCAAAAATATGCAAAATAATATTTATGATTTTTTTTTCAGAATTAAAAAGTGTTAGAAAGTATTTTTTAAGTAATTAAAAGAAAGCAAATAATACAAAAAATATAAAAAATACTAAATGTTAAAATAAAAATGTAAAAAAATATTCATGAGATCAGAAATAATTCAAAGTATTTTTTGTGAATTTTTCATAATTTTTGGATAAAAAATAAAAGAGTTATGAATTTTTGAAAATTTAATCAAATAAAATATAAAATCAGAAAATAAAATAAAACCAAAAAGATGTGGACCATCAGATCAAAGTCAAAACGCGTTAGTAAGCTAATCTAATGGACCAGACGCGCTGCGCTTGATATGGACCTTAGTGAAACACACATGTGATCAGAAAAAGGGCAACCAATGAAATTAAAACGATTGACACACTATGATTGGCTGAGACGAGACATGTCACCGTCTTCAACCTCCAGACACCCTACAATGGGGATTTTGTGAGATCCTTCAAATGGAAAAATTAGGATCCCTGACTAGCATCATTGAACTCGTCTCTTCAAGACGATTCTAACACAACCATCGCGCCAAATTTATATAAAGTATGGAAAGAGATATGAATCAAAACACAGAAAAATAGCGAGCACCTTCAATTTGAGATTTCTCTCTCAATTCTCTATGGATTTAAAAATTGTAAGCAGCATTAAAATCAGACAAAGGAGTAGAACATATTAGTACTTGATTTGGATCCAATTGGTGGAGAATTCTACCTTTTCGAAGTTCAAGTAAGAAGCTCTGAAACTGGACTTATGTAGCTTGGATTATGGGTCATTTTGATTGGTTTAAATGCTGGAGAGTTTGTATGAAGTTCAAGGATGATGAATGTGCAAAGAATTTTGGAAAAAGAAGCTTAAATTTCAAAAACTTAATTCAACAAAAGTGGGTTCGTGTGAAGTTTTGGCAGGGTGTTCTTGGCTCTCTAAGCTTTTGACTAGGGCATGGAAATAAACTCATGAACCCATGATGCAACTTGCTAAACCTCATTGCCTTCACCTACATTATTAACAAGTAAGACAAACCAATATTGTATTTGTTAATTTAGAGAGAAAATCAAAGCAAAATATCTATGATCACAAAAGAAAGCAAGTCAATGTGCTTGGTAATTCCTCAAAGAGCAAAGCTAAAGATAAGGAGAAGAACCAAAAGCCCTAATGTAATTTTGTGGTGATTGAAACAATGTGGTATGATGAAGGGATCTTAGGGGAAAAAATTGGGGTACAACACATAACAATTTGAATATTCTAGCAAAAGTCTTTAATTTCAGTTTCTTTTTCAATTTTTTGTTTTTCTTCTTTGAAATTTCATATAATTCTTTCGACAAATCCACAACTTTCAATTCATTGATCTTGCTCTCATCTTCATTTCTAATATCATAAATATTTTCTTCTCATCTCATGTCTTCACCCCATATATATATATATATATATATATATATATATATATATATATAAATAACAGGTATCATCACCTAATAAATAAAGGTAAATTTGTTTAAATATAATAGAGATCAAATATCAAAAGATATAAAACTCATCTAAGTATGTTGCACCTGCTAAAACACATCCTAAAAAAAGTCTTCATTTGTTAGATTCGCTCTTGTAACGGTAAGATGACATACGAGCATGACACTCTCACAATCTTTCAAATCAACATTTATAGATGAAAAAGATATGAAAACGAGTTTGGTTTGCCTTGATTTAGAAGACGACATTAAAACGAATTTGATTTATCTTGATTCACCTTATTTGAAGTCGGAGCGTCTACGTGCAAGTTGTAAGAATTTTAGAAAAGAGAGTGTGAATTATGGTAAAAACATGATTTGAGGATGATGAATTTAAAGACATTTTAATATATATTTCAAATAAAAAATATTTATTAATATTAATTTAATCCAAAAAATTTAATGTGGCTATTTATTTATCTGCTAGAGTGTCTCTCCGTCAGTTTTTATTAGGAGGCGTTTGTTTCGTGAATTGAAAATTTATTTTTAGGAATGTTGGTTGGAATATTTTTTATCCTAATGTTTGTTTTAAATTTTACTAAATCATATGTAGAAATTTTTTATTCACAAGAAATTATTTTACACATAATTTTGTAACTTTTTATTCTCACGTTATAGGGTGGAAATCTCACATTCCCATAGGAATACGAAGTAACCGCTCATAACTTCCCTTGCCTATATATTTTAATTCATTTATTTTATATTTTATATTTTCAATTAAATATATTAAATAAATATTCTAAAAAAATTAATTCTTTTCACCAAACACAGATGAAAATAAAATTCTCAAAAATAATATTTCTCAAAATAGTATTTTCAGAATTATACTTTTAATGCATGAAACAAACACAAAAGAAAGTTAACGAGAGAAATCAATAGAAAATATTAAGAAGACTATTATTTAAATGAAATTTAAAAAGAAATTATAATTAAATAATGGGATATTTAAGAGAACCCCTAACCTATTTAACCTATATTTTATAAGTAACCTAATTAAAAGAGGACCAAGTAAATAAAAAAAATTGAATTTTTTAAATAGCTAAAATAATTAAAATAATTAAAATAAATGTTCCCTTTGTTTTATCTTAAAAAAATGTTTTTTAAAATATTAAATTTTTTATATTTTTATAAATTAAAGATTAATTTTAATATATTATAACAAAATATATATTATTGAAGATTAAAACATGTTCAAAATTAAATTTCTTTAAAAAAAAAAAACACACACACATATATATATATATATATATATATATATATATATATATATATATATATATATATATATATATATATATATATATATATATATATATAAAATAGCTTTAAATTTAGTTTTAAATTTATGAAAAATCATTTAAAATAGTTTTAAATTTCAGTGATTTTTTTAAATTTTAATAAAAAATATTAAAAATAATAAAATATTAAAAATAATATTTTATGAATAATTAGTTAAACCAACTTTTTATTTAAAGACTTTTATAAAAAATTGTAAATTATTTTAAATAAAATTATGCAACTTGTAAAAAATCATTAAAAAAAATTGAAATAGACTTAAAAAAAACTTAAACAAATGGTCAAAGCTAGGGGTGTGCATGGATCAATAACCAAACCAAATTGAACCATATATATGATTTGGTTTGGATCTTAAAACTACTTCATTAAAACCTGTTTATATTTCTAAAATCGGTTTACATGTGGATCGGTTCGGTTTTGAACCGGTTTCTCACAAAAACCAGTTTTTAAAAAGAAACCAATTTTAAACTGATTTTTCTAAAAACCAGTTTTTAATTTTCTTTAAAAAATCGATTTCAAAACCAGTTTTATAAAAAACCAGTTTCAAAATCAATTTTATAAAAAAAAACAATTTTAAAATCAATAATATTCGATATGTGAAGAGTTTTTTTTAAGTAAGTTTGGTGTTTGGTCTTGTATATATAATTGAAATTTGATTATAGTATTATGAAAGTTGAATTTTAAAATGGAGATTCATGTCTTAGATTGATGAAACTCAACTTTCATTACTGTGTTGTCATTCAAACACATTTGCAGGTAAAATATATTATAGTGTATTTTTAAAACTAAAAAAATAATATTTATTGTAATATATTTAATGTTGGGATCCAAGAAAAAATTAACTATCATTCTAGTTATTCAATTTGTAATGGTTTGGTTTTGGCTATGTTGAAAATTTAGAGAGGTAATTTTTAACATTTGAGTAAATTAGTAAATTGGATCAGGAACAAAAACTGAATTTCAATAAAATGTGTATCCAATATTATTGGTTTTTCTTTAAATGGAGTGGGTTAGTTAATAACCAAATGATTTAGATTTTTTATATTTGGAAACCAATTTTATGGTTATGGATTGAATGAACCGGTTAAAATGCACACCCCTAATCAAAGCGTATTTTGTCTAAAAAATGAAGTTACGAGAGATAATGAAAAATAAGAGGAGAGGAATTATTACATGGCAAATTTTTAGTAAGGAGGAATAAAGACAAGAGAGGAATAAAAAGGAAAGAAGAAGACAGACAGAAAAAGTACCACATTTATTGCGAAAAAAAAGAAAAGATATTTAACATTTTTTTTATATAATTTGGGCTCGCCAAAGTGGAATAGAAAAAAAAGTTTGGAAAATAGTTTCTAATCTCTTCAACGCAAACGCAACAAACCCTGCCGTTTTGTTTTTACGCGATGAAAGAGAAAAAGGTTCCATAAACCCTTGAATTCACTTTTCATTTCAAAATTTCTTCATCCACTCTTATTTACTTGTTAATTGAATGGGTGCCGCGCAAGTCCAAAACGGCGTCGCCGCCTCTTCCTCCGCTCCGAACCAAGCAACAGCCACTGCAACAGCAACAACAGCAACGCACGGCGTCGCCGCCGCGGCTTCTTCATCCGATTTGAACCAAGCAACAGCGCCTGCAACAACAATGGCAGCAAGAGAAAAAGCGTGTGAAGTATCGAAGACGCCGAAGAAGAAGAAAATCTGCTGTGCTTGTCCTGACACGAAGAGGATTCGGGATGAGTGCATAGTGGAGCACGGAGAAGACGCTTGTGGGAAGTGGATCGAAGCTCATCGACTTTGCCTCCGTGCCGAGGGATTCAATGTTTGAGATTCGGTACTTTGTTGGAATAATAAAAACTATAGGATAATGATAACTCAGATTTTATGTTGTTGGAAGTATAGAATAAATCAAGTAAAATTTCAAGGGATTTAGGGTTTGAATTCTGATTTTCAGACCTAATACACCATATTGTTGATCCATTTGATTTAATGGTTAAAACCTCCATTCATTTCCCCAATCTTTTACTGTTTACTTCTTTGAACGATTTTCTTGAGCAGTTATAGAAATTCTTTAGATATGCATGATTATTTACAATAGTCTAGTAATCCAAAGCATATCTATACCACTTTTTCTCATCTTGTAATCCAATTCTTTTCCGATTTCGGATGCCTTGAAAAATAAAAAAAATCAACAAGCGGTTGGACAAGATTGCAGCTGATAGGAATAAGTTTGGTTTTCAGACAATTGAAATTCATAATGACATGCGTGTAGCATATGGGGGAGAAATGACATACTCCCGTGTGATTAATTTAGAAGTGAAAGGAAGAGAACATGACAAAGAAAAGATTGTCAGGCTTTTGGTTCAGCATGACAATAATGATAAGAATCTCTCTCTCTGTTATTCCCATTGTGGGGCTTGGAGGCCTCAGAAAGACCACACTTGCAAAGTTTGTGTTTAATGATAAGAAAATAAATGAGTATTTCTCATCAAAGATGTGGGTGAGTCTTTCAGGTAACTTTGACATGAAAGAAGTGATTATTAAGATCATCAATTCTGCTAATGACTCTGCTAAAGTGGATGCTCCTGCTTACCAACTAAATTATAGAGATTTAGATATCGAGCAACTGCAAAATCATCTTATAAACAAACTTAATGGTCAAAAGTTTCTACTTGTCTTAGATGACGTGTGGAATGAAGACTGTGTGGAATGAAGACTGTGTTAAATGGATCCAGGTGAGGGATTTACTACAAGTGGGTGCTCTAGGGAGTAAAATCTTATTTACTACACGCAGTCACTCGATTGCTACCATGATGGGAACCGTTTCCTCGCACAATTTAGAAAGCCTTTCTCTTGAAGATTCATTTTCTATATTTTTCAAATGGGCCTTTAAAGAAGGAGAAGCAAGGAGGTATCCTCATTTGGTAAATATTGGAAGGGAAATTGTGAAAAAATGTGGTGGGATTCCCTTGGCAGTGAGAACAGTAGGGAGTTTACTTTTTTCAAAATGTGAAACAATTCAGTATTGGGGAAACATGAAAGACAACGAAATTTGAAACAATTCTGCATTTGAGACCTTGCTGGCCATTGGGAAGCTGGTGCTTTTAAGATATCTCAGTCTTGAGAATAATAAAAAGATTAAGAGACTTCCAGATTCTATTTGCAACCTCCTGAGGTTAGAAATGTTGATACTTAGTGGGTGTACAGAACTTGAGACACTTCCTAAAGGCTTAAAAAACTTGATCAGTCTCCAACATTTGGAAATAACAACAAAGCAGCGCGTTTTGCCAGAGGATGAGATTGCAAACTTGAGTTCTCTTCAGACTCTCAGTCGAGTTTCGCAGCAATCTAGAGTCATTATTTGGAAGGATAAAACTTCCTAGTCTCAAAGTATTGTGTATTGCTAATTGTAGAGCTCTAAAGTCTTTGCCACTTGATATTGAACATTTTCCTGCATTAGAGACATTGCTAGTTGACAACTGTGACATGTTGGAATTTTCAGAGGGACATGAGGAACAAAACTCCAGCATGAGATTGAAGGTTTTAATTATTGTTTCTCTGCCGCAGTTGGTGATCTTGCCTCATTGGCTTCAAGGGTCCTTGAATACATTACAATACTTGTCAATTTCAAGCTGCAACAATCTTGTAGCACTTCCACAGTGGCTGTCAGATATGAGCAGCCTGAAAACACTATATATCATAGGTTGTCCTAATATAATATCTCTCCCTAATGACTTTCATCGCCTCATCAACCTTGAACGATTAGAAATTGATGGTCATCTTGAATTGCTTAGAAAACCTCAGCCAGAAATTGGAGAGTCTTCGCGCCCACACGATGCTGCAGATGAACCAGACGAAGTGGTAGAAGAATTGGAATAAGAGCATAAGGCTTGGCGTAAGAAAAGATATACATTCAAGTTTTTTTGTTGTTACTTTTCACTTCCATAATGTTACTGAGGACTTGATATGATTATGTTTTTTTTTTTGCCTTAATGTTTTGTAGTGTACGATTGGAGCAAGGAATGGTTATCTCCCTATTTGAAGAGAAGGGGACAGTACAAGATTAAATGATTATTAGAAAAAGCACCTCTTATACTACTTTTCTGCCTAAGTATGTGATTTAGCTTGCACATTCAAAATTGTTGAGTTCTTTTCTAATAATGCATATCATTAGCCTCTTCTCCAGTTCTTATGATTGAAATTAGTGTGTATTGTTTGTTAAGTTAATAGTAAGATGCATGAAATCAATATATAGTGATTAATTAGATCGTTGTTTGAGTTTGCAAAATGTTATAGAATGATCAGAAATCAAGAATCGAATGTGTTTGTAACACAAAGTACCAGTCTTTCTAAGTCAGTAAGGCTTCTTAGGCATTTTTTATTCAGTGAGAAAGAGGGAATAGTAATCAGTAAGGAATGCGTATCTACTATGCACCTGTTGCTTCTTCACTTGCTGCTGTTCCAATAACCCTTTGAAATTTTTTGGTTTTTGTGTCTCTTTAAAAATTGAAATATGTCAGTTATCAACTAGCAAGTGTCAAAGTCATTTTATTTATCAGGCTCGAATCGACCAACAACAAAATCCCCTTCAATTAAAACATTTTTTTTGTAAGAACGCCTAATTCTTAGCATACAAGGGTGCAAGAGAATGAGTCAGCAGAAGAGAATGAGTTAGCATTACATGATGAGGCTGAGGCTAGTAATTCAGTTATGGATCCGAGAAATATGGGAGTAAGGCGTAGCAATAGAAAGAGGATTGTAGTACTAGGCTCAAGGGGTATAAGAGGTACTAGTGGCTAAGTAATCAATGTGGAATATTTGATATCTCTTCTCTCTTTCTGGACCCTCTCGGGGTATTTCTCTCTCTCTCTCTCAGAAACTTATTTCTTTCCACCTTTATTCTTCATTGTTGTTCCTCTATGGTTATACCCAGGAGTGTAGTTTCTGCTTGAATCACATTTAATCAAAACATTACTATTTCCCCTTTTCTATATTTTAGTCATAACAATTTGGTGCTTTCATTGCAACCATGGCCGACGGACACCGCTTTGATACCATTTGAAAGCTCTAAAGATTTGACTAAATTTTGGTAAAACTAATTGCTGAACAAGAATATTAAAATATATGAAGAACATGTCAAACAAAGAAGTTCTATAATCAGAAGCAACATATCAAACAAGATGTCTTATGCAGAGTCATTCGACATCGTGATTGTGTTGGGTTATGCTGTTGGATCAGTTTAAGTTTTAACATGTGCAAAATATTCTGGAATATTATGCTATCCTATGTGGCGTTGAATTGAAGATTGAAGAGATTCAAGTTGATTTCAAGGAGGTTTATCAGTTTCTATTTGTGGAGATAAATTAGGAAGCAAATGATTGGAACTTTATTTTTATGCAGAAGATTCTGCAAATTTTCAGTAACTAATATGCTGCTGTATCGAAGCCCTTGGACAGTTGAAGATTATAAAAGGAAGACTTAGATTTAGGGCTTTTTAACTAACCCTTGTGCAAAACTTTTGAAAACAAAAAGACAAGGGTTTAGGATTTTGAGAGTCGTGTACTTTCTTGTGTTGTAAGTCATCCTTTGTATCGTTTTGATGTATTGTGGTAGACATAGTTGTTTATACAAATTTAGAAGCCTTTAGGTAATGAATTGTATATTGTTCTTCGATGAAGCTTTGAAGCAAATCCAAGTGTGTTTGTTAGTCAAGAGTCTTGGCTGAACTTTATGATTGTTAGATATCACTGATGTGATTTAGGAAGTGAGATGACGATTTCTCATTTTTAGGGAGGACCTAAGTAGAAGTGTCATTGAGTAGGGATTGAGCGAGAAGTTGTAAACGGGAGAATTTGACTCGACATTGCATATGTTGTAGGATTGATGTGCAAGTTTACTAGTAGACTGAGTAATGAGCATTGGTAAGCTATTGAGCAAGTCATGCGGTACCTTAAAACGATCATGAATCTCGGTTTACATTATCAGAGATTTCCTGCTATACTCGAAGGATACAATGATGCAGATTGGAATACCTTATAAGATGACTCTAAAGCAACTAATGGCAATATATTTCGTATAACTGAGGAGTTGTATCTTGGAAATCAAAGAAACAAACTATCTTGGCTCATTCCACGATGGAGTCTGAGATGATCGCATTAGCAACTGCTAGTGAAGGAGCAAGTTAGCTAAGATGCTTGCTAGTTGAGAACCTTATGTGGGAAAAACCTATGCCAGTTGTGTTGATCCATTGTGACAATATGACAACTATTGCAAAAATAGAGGATCATTATTATAATGGTAAAAGACGTCAAATTAGAAGAAAGCACGACACTATTAGAGATTATATCTCTAAAGGAGATGTAAGAGTGGATCATGCATGCACTGATGAAAATTTAGCAGATCCTTTGACGAAAGGATTAACTAGAGTGAAAGTCCATAATAAATTCAAGAAGATGGAGATAATGTCTATATAGAAATGAGATGCTCATGATGGTAACCCGACCTATATGACTGGAGATCCCTAGAAATAATCTCAATGGGTAATAACAAGTTGTGATTAATATGAGATGATCGTGCAAGTATAAATAAGTAAAGCACGATTCCTGAAGGAATAAGAAAATGGGATAATAGAAGTTTTTAATGAGATCTATACTATCCATGAGGGAGTACATAGGCTACAAGAGTAATCTTGATAGGTTCATATATGTGATTGTGGAACTTAGGCCGAATCCTATGGAATTTTAAGGCAGAATTCCTAGAGCTTTCACTAAACCGGGATACACGTGAAAGACCTTTAAAGCAGGGGGCATTAGAATACACCTTAGAAAAGGTTGTGTGTGTATTTGATGTCTGAGATAGAGTTCAAGACAATTGTGTCACTCTTGTTGAATCAGAATCCTACTTGCTACGAAAAGGTTCAAGTCATATACACCTTTGTTTATGCAGAATCTTAGAAATATTCTAAAATAATCGTTGAAATTAAAGGTACCGTGAGGAGTATGCAAGAACCAGTGAGCTGTCTCACCCTCCACCTTGAAGCTTCATTCAGCTTCTGGTACAGGTATGGCAAAATGGCGGCTCCCCAATTCCACTCATGAACAATACTAATATCCATAAAATACCAGAGGTATGTCACATCTACGTAGTAGGCACTTTTGTCCACAAAGCGGGACGTGCCAACCATAAACATGAAGTAACACTGTAAAACACAATCTTGATGATACTGGACAAAAATCTCGTCACCCTCATCATTGGTCGCTGCTGCTGCAACCAGGTGCTCTTCATATAGATCCTTTAGGTGCGCGAATTCCACATGCGCCCCATTTGTGCTTATGCAATCCTCAACTGCCCTATATGGATCAACACCCATATACTCAATCATTCATTTGATTGCCTCAGCTTGTGTTATCTTGTGATGGTTAAGTAACCTCCCTCTGATAGGTAGATGGAGCAAGCAAGCAATATCATAAAGTGTGATCTTCATCTCCCGAACAGGAAAGTGGAAAGACGATGTCTCCTTGTGCCACCTCTCAGCAGACATGTCGTGGCTTATAGTACTGTAACCAGTGCAGCATAGTCCGACAAGTTCGAATTCAACAACGGCCTCATGGAACCAATCACCGCAGGTATAAACAACTCAAATATTTTTCGCGAGTGATTCACTGACTTAATTGGCAACCGTTGCTGAAATCAAAAAAATAATAACCGTTAATTATAAATTTGTGGCTAAACCTATATAATGAAAAAGTATAACCAAAAAAATACCTCTTCATCCCAAACATGCCGAGCGGCATGATCGTTATAATAGATCAATAGTGAGGTGTCATAAGGCCCTCCTGGATAACCGATGTCCTCTGCAAGTACCTCAACATGATCGGGTACCTCAACATGCTCGGGAACCTTATCCCCTCGGGTATCGCAAACTCCTCGGGAACCTCCTCATCGGGTATGTGCTCATGCGCACGAGAGGTAGACGCCTGAGACAGACACTCCTCGGTGCAGAAGAAGAACCTCTAGACAATTCCTCCCGTTGTACCCGACCCCGTCCACGAGGCCTAATAACCTGTTGCGCAGGTCTCTCGCCGAGCAAAGGCAGTCTGACTTGGCCTCCCTTGTCTCAAACGGTTGTTCCGGTCCTGGTTGTCTGCCATATTCCTGAAAATTTAATTTCAATTGTTAATTTAAAAAAAAAACAACTCAGGCAAGATTTCGGATGTGCACATGTGAAACTGGTCCAGGAGAATTTCAGATGTGCACTTCTGAAACCACCTGCGAACCCATTTTCAAGAAGCAACTTCTTCTTGTCCTAAATCATCCAAATACCATTTTTTTGTCACCAAAACACCAAAATTTAACTATTCTAACAACAATTTACACTATCTTATTGATTATAACTAACCTAATAAACTATTATAACATTGCATAGTGAATCAAATGGAAATGGAGAAAACTTACACAAACTTAGAGCTTTGGGGATATGTTGGAATGACTTGAAAAAAGCTGAAATGGGGAGATGAGTAAAAATGAATTAGTTCTTCAAGTTTGGATATTAGAAATTAAGGGTTTTGGTGTAGAAATGTGAAGTTTTTGTGTTTGAATGGAAATGGGTAATGTTCTGTTTGTTGTTTTGAAAACAATAGAATGACTCCGAATGTGAATCTCCGAAGTCATAAATTATGGGATAAATTCAGAGATGCACATTCGAAGTAACTTTTTTTGACAAAATAAACAGACTTCGGATATGCACATGCGAACACACCTATTTTTGTCAAATATAGTGACTTCGAATATGCATATCCGAAGTAAATTTAATAATTCACGTTGGTGGTTCGTTCGGAGATGCACTTCTGAATTCTGAAAGTATTTTAAAATTTTTGTCAGAGATCCCGGAGAAATGCATTAAATGTAGAAAGAAATTCCGTAAATATTTTAGAAATCTCACCAACAACTTCTACACCTTGGCCCACTTTTCACACTTATTCACAAACTTGGGTTGCATGATAAAGTAATACTTGATTGGGCACAACCCCAACACATAATCTTTTAGGCACACTCACATAAAATTATCTATCATTTAAATATTTAAAAATATATATTATTTAACTGTTTTCATTTTCTATTTTTTCTTTTTATTGTGTGTGCCTATACTATGTGCCCAATGCAATACCTTGTGTGCATGATATACGGTTTGAGGGGTTTGGGTTGTTAAATGTAATTAATGTTTATTTTAAGTTTATTTTATTCTTTGTAAGTAGGTAGTTTTATTGTAACTACTTAACTACTATTTAGGGATTTTACTTATGGCAGTTACACTTTATGCTAGTGTATATACTATATATACTGCCTCTTGGATTATGTAAGGTTAAGTTGGATATCAATTGTAATCCGCTTCAGTATTCAACTATTATTACTCTTTTTCAAATGTCCAATGGACACCTGTTAGCAGAAAGCAAAGAGGGAGAGATAAAGAAAATTCTGCGTGACAGAGAGAGATAGATAAAAAGTCTAAATTAAAAGAAAAGTCAAATTGGATTAAATTTTCTAGTGTTTGTGCACACGGCACTCATCTCAGTCACATAAAAGAAGTATAAAAATAAAACAAAAAATAAGCATTGACTTGAGGTTCATAATGCAAGTTAGAATATAGAGAGAGATGGAGATCAAATATGTGCATAACCAGAGAGAGGTTCTAAAAACACAAACCATTACTTATAGTCCTCTTGGGATATTTCGGTTAATAATTGATTAGTGATTTATGGCGTTAACGTCATCGCTCTTCGACTTGGCAGATTCACTGATAGCAAAGGTTGCTTCTCTGGCATGTGAAGAAGCTTCTCAGGTGCTGAATGTATATGCGGATCTTCAACAGTTCACACAGACTATTTCATACATCAAATCTGTGCTCATGGATGCTGAACAAAAGCAGAAAAGTTCAACCGATGAGTTTTGGGAGCTGAGGAATTGGATGTGGCGGGTACGAAATGTTCTCTTGGATGCGGAAAACGTGCTTGATGAAGTTGAGTTTCGAAACCTAAGAAAGAAAGCTAATGATAGCACAATGATAACCAAGGTCTTCTTCTCATCTTCTAATCCAATTGTTTTCCGATTTAGAGTGGCTCATAAAATTAAAGAAATCAACAAGCGGTTAGACAAGATTGCAGCTGATAGGAATAACTTTGGTCTTCAGACAATTGAAATTCACAATGACACGCAAGTAGCACATGGGGGAGAAATGACATACTCCCGTGTGATTAATTCAGATGTGATAGGAAGACAACATGATAAAGAAAAGATTATCAAGATTTTGGTTCAGCATGACAATAATGATACAAATCTCTCTGTTATTCCCATTGTGGGGCTTGGAGGCCTCGGAAAGACCACACTTGCAAAGTTTGTGTTTAATGATCAGAAGATAAGTGAGTATTTCTCATCCAAGATGTGGGTGAGTCTTTCAGGTAGCTTTGATATGAAAGAAGTGATTATTAAGATCATCAATTCTGCTAATGACTCTGCTAAAGTGGATGCTCCTGCTTACCAACTAAATTATAGAGATTTAGATATCGAGCAACTGCAAAATCATCTTATAAACAAACTTAAAGGTCAAAATTTTCTACTTGTCTTAGACGACGTGTGGAATGAAGATCGTGTTAAATGGATTCAGGTGAGGGATTTACTACAAGTGGGTGCTCTAGGAAGTAAAATCTTATTTACTACGCGTAGCCACTCGATTGCTTCCATGATGGGAACCGTTTCCTCACACAACTTAGAAGGCCTTTCTCTTGAAGATTCGTTGTCTCTATTTGTCAAATGGGCCTTTAAAGAAGGAGAAGCAAGGAGGTATCCACATTTGGTAAATATTGGAAGGGAAATTGTGAAAAAATGTGGTGGGATTCCCTTGGCAGTGAGAACAGTTGGGAGTTTACTTTTCTCAAAATATGAGACAGTTGAGTATTGGGAAAACGTGAAAGACAACGAAATTTGGAATTTACCGGATGCACATGGAATTTTACCTGCACTTGAGTTAAGCTATCGTCGAATGCCATCCGCTATGCAGAAATGCTTTGCTTTGTTCTCCCTTTACCCAAAGGGTCATGCATTTGATAGTTTTCATGTAACATCACTATGGAGAGCGCTTGGTCTCCTTCCAACACCAAACAGAAACCCAAATCAAACATCGAAATATAGTGCTAGCCATTATTTGTTGGAAATGCTGTCAATATCTTTTCTTCAAGATTTTGTAGACTATGGCATTGGTTTCACTTTCAAAATGCATGATTTGGTGCATGATCTTGTTAAGCAAGTTGCATCGAAGGACCTTGTGGTATGTTGTTACCCTACTGATTTCCTAGATTCACGTGTTCACCATCTGTCTTACACTGAAAACAAAGAGCTTGATGAATTTCCCTTTCAACACTTAAAATTTGTGAAGAGCATACTATTTCCTATTGCTGGAGTTGGATCACACAGTAAAGCTTTCTTGAATGGTTGCATGTCAAATTGTAAACACCTGCAGTTTTTTGATTTAAGCTATTCTACGTATGAGACCTTGCCCTGGGCCATTGGGAAGCTGGTGCATTTAAGATATCTCAGTCTTGAGAATAATAAAAAGATTAAGCGACTTCCAGTTTCTATTTGCTACCTCCTGAGGTTAGAAATGTTGATACTTAGTGGCTGTACAGAACTTGAGACACTTCCTAAAGGCTTAAAAAACTTGATCAATCTCCAACATTTGGAGATAACAACAAAGCAACGCGTTTTGCCAGAGGATGAGATTGCAAACTTGAGTTCTCTTCAGACTCTCAGAATCGAGTTTTGCAGCAATCTAGAGTCATTATTTGGAATGTTAAAACTTCCAACTCTCAAAGTATTGTGTGTTGCTAATTGTAAAGCTCTAAAGTCTTTGCCACTTGACATTGAACATTTTCCTGCATTAGAGACATTGTTACTTGACAACTGTGACATGTTGCAGTTGTCAGAGGGACATGAGGAGCAAAACTCCAGCATGAGATTGAAGGTTCTAATTATTGTTTCAATGCCGCAGTTGGTGATCTTGCCTTATTGGCTTCAAGGGTCCTTGAATACATTAAAATACTTGTCAATTTCAAGCTGCAACAATCTTGTGGCACTTCCACAGTGGCTGTCAGATATGAACAGCCTGAAAACACTATATATCATAGGTTGTCCTAATATAATGTCTCTCCCTAATGACTTTCATCGCCTCATCAACCTTGAACGATTAGAAATTGATGGTCATCTTGAATTGCTTAGAAAACCTCAGCAAGAAATTGGAGAGTCTTCGCGCCCACACGATGCTGCAGATGAACCAGACGAAGTGGTAGAAGAATTGGAATAAGAGCATAAGGCTTGGCGTAAGAAAAGATTTATCATGGCAGATATACATTCAAGTTTTTTTGTTGTTACTTTTCACTTCCATAATGTTACTGAGGACTTGATATGATTATGTTTTTTTTTTTGCCTTAATGTTTTGTAGTGTACGATTGGAGCAAGGAATGGTTATCTCCCTATTTGAAGAGAAGGGGACAGTACAAGATTAAATGATTATTAGCAAAAGCACCTCTTATACTACTTTTCTGCCTAAGTATGTGATTTAGCTTGCACATTCAAAATTGTTGAGTTCTTTTCTAATAATGCATATCATTAGCCTCTTCTCCAGTTCTTATGATTGAAATTAGTGTGTATTGTTTGTTAAGTTAATAGTAAGATGCATGAAATCAATATATAGTGATTAATTAGATCGTTGTTTGAGTTTGCAAAATGTTATAGAATGATCAGAAATCAAGAATCTGAATGTGTTTGTAACACAAAGTACTGGTCTTTCTAAGTCAGTAAGGCTTCTTAGGCATTTTTTATTCAGTGAGAAAGAGGGAATAGTATCCACTATGCACCTGTGGCTTCTTCACTTTCTGCTGTTCCAATAACCCTTTGAAATTTTTTGGTCTTTGTGTCTCTTTAAAAATTGAAATATGTCACAGTTGTCAACTAGCAAGTGTCAAAGTCATTTTATTTATCAGGCTCGAATCGACCAACAACAAAATCCCCTTCAATTAAAACATTTTTTTTGTAAGAACGCCTAATTCTTAGCATACAAGGGTGCAAGAGATCCAATCATTAATAGGGGCCCACAGGATAATGAGTCAGCAGAAGAGAATGAGTTAGCATTACATGATGAGGCTGAGGCTAGTAATTCTGTTATGGATCCGAGAAATATGGGAGTAAGGCGTAGTAATAGAAAGAGGATTGTACTACTAGGCTCAAGGGGTATAAGAGGTACTAGTGGTTAAGTAATCAATGTGGAATATTTGATATCTCTTCTCTCTTTCTGGACCCTCTCGGGGTACTTCTCTCTCTCAGAAACTTATTACTTTCCACCTTTATTCTTCATTGTTGTTCCTCCATGGTTATACCCAGGAGTGTAGTTTCTGCTTGAATTACATTTAATCAAAACATTACTATTTCCCCTTTTCTATATTTTAGTCATAACAATTTGGTGCTTTCATTGCAACCATGGCCGACGGACACCGCTTTGATACCATTTGAAAGTTCTAAAGATTTGACTAAATTTTGGTAAAACTAGTTGTTGAATAAGAATATTAAAATATATGAAGAACAACATGTCAAACAGAGAAGTTCTATAATCAGAAGCAACATGTCAAACAAGCTGTCCTATGCAGAGTCATTCGACACCGTGACTGTGTTGGGTCGTGCTGTTGGATCAGTTTAAGTTTTAACATGTGAAAAATATTCTAGAATATTATGCTATCCTATGTGGCGTTGAGATTGAAGAGCGAAGAGATTCAAGCTGATTTCAAGGAGGTTTATCAGTTTCTATTTGTGGAGACAAATTAGGAAATAAATGATTGGAGCTTTATTTTTATGCAGAAGATTCTGCAAATTTTCAGTAACTAATATGCTGTTGTATCGAAGCCCATGGACAACTGAAGATTATAAAAGGAAGACTTAGACTTAAGGTTTTTTAACTAACCCTTGTGCAAAACTTTTGAAAACAAAAAGATAAGGGTTTAGGATTTTGAGAGTCGTGTACTTTCTTGTGTTGTAAGCCATCCTTTGTATCGTTTTGATGCATTGTGGTAGACATAGTTGTTTATACAGATTCATAAGCCTTTAGGTAATGAATTGTATATTGTTCTTCGATGAAGCTTTGAAGCAAATCCAAGTGTGTTTGTTAGTCAAGAGTCTTGGCTGAACTTTATGATTGTTAGATATCACTGATGTGATTTAGGAAGTCAGATGACGATTTCTCATTTTTAGGGAGGACCTAAGTAGAAGTGTCATTAGGCGAGAAGTTGTAAACGGGAGAATTTAGCTTTGAACTAATACTGCTGATAGTGGACTTTCTTCCTGGCTTGATAGCTCCATAGTAGGCGTTGTTGTACACCGAACTGGGTCATCATATCTTTGTGTTATTATCATTCTGCATTGTTCAATTTTGTTTCTTGATTGATTGACATGTCATATAAGATGTTGAAATATTTGTCATCACTCTGTTCTGATATGAATTATATCAGTATGCTTTATCCAGTCCAAGTGTTGTTACAAAAAGATCTTTGTCTCAACATGTGTTAGGACATTGTTATATGTATACCAGAATTTCAATTGGTATCACAAAAGGCATCATGTTCTGTTTTGGTTGAGATCTAGGGAAGGTACTTTCTAGTGCATTGGACTTGAAGGAACAAAGTGTGGTTGTAGCTGCTGCTATAACTATGATGTTAATTGTGAGGCGTTTCTCTACTGTTTGTTCCTCTATAGTGTGAACGTGGAAAACTCATATTATTTTGGGATGATCCCTTGAGAAGAATCATTGACTATTTGTGATAAGGTGAGTATTGGACCTGTTTGAAATTGCCAGACAGGTAGCTTTGATGTTGAGCTGTTGTGTTGTGTTTGATTTTTTTTCAAATCTATGGTGTTTTGTTGTCACCTAAATTATGGTGATTATGTGCAAGGATTATATTATTCTATCCTGAAGGGTATTGAGGAGTTGTTGATGTGTGATCCGCTGCGTATGTACCTGAAAACTCCTGATAGTTTCATGTGTCTCTAGTGTTGAGGTTGTAGGAAGATTTGCCCTTGTAATACAATAAGGACGAGCTTTGTGATATGTTCCTCTCTAAATGTGTATTCTATGGTGTTGTGATACTTGGAGGATAGCTTTAACCAGTCTGCTAAAGTTGACAAAGATACTTGAGGTTCATCTCAAGTCCACTTATAATACTACGTCAAAACTGCTTTTAGGCAGCACACCTTAAACAACACTTATGTACCAAAGCGCTGCTATATGTCCCGAAAAAATTTTAAGTTTTAAAACTATATATATTAGACAGCGCTTTATAAAAAAGCGCTACCTAAAGTTAAGAAAAAGTGCTGCCTAAGCCACACTTTAGGTAGCACTTTATGAAAATGCTGCCTAAGGTCAATTAAAATTGAAATAAAAAAATAAATTCTAGAAAGCGCTGCCTAAATTCAAAGCGCTGTTATAGGTCAAAGAGTAAAAAGCGCTTCCATATACCTAAAGCGCTGTTAAAGCCACACTTTAGGCAACGCTTTCTACTACAAAATTTATTTTAGGCAGCACACTATAAACAACGCTATTTTCCCAAAGCGCAGTTATAACTTTAATTTTTTTTATAGAAAAAGCATTGCTAAAGACTTACTTTAGAAAGCGCTTCTAAAAAGCGCCGCTTAAGGCCATACATATCCACACTTTAGAAAGTGCTTCTAGAAATCGCTACTAAAGGATGTGTTTAGAAAGCGCTTCATGTAAGCGTCGCTATATGTCATACATCAGAAAGCGCTTTTTTTTAATGAAAAAGCGCTCGTAAAGGAAATACATTAGAAAGTGCTTCAAAAAGCGCTGTCTAAGCTCATTAATTTCTAATTTCTAAATTAAAAATACGAAAACTCTAAAACTCAGATTTTTTCCATATTCTCTCAAAACATCTTCTTTCGCGCGACTTCCACCATTGCGATTCCCTTCTACTTCTGGTTACTTCATCATCTCTTCGGTCAACTTCAGACTGCACAACCTTCTCCTCTATTCAACGATTAACACCTTCTTCTTTGTCGTGGTTCGCAACATCAAACACTCTCCCCTGTTCAGCAAGCTCAACCATTTTCTCTTCCCTTCAACCTCTACTTAACTCAGTCGATATCCTCACAAATTTCTCTCCACAAGCAACAACCGTAAGTCATCCAAAACAACCCCCTTCATTTCAGTTCGACAATAAATCACATCTTCAACTGTTTTGATCATTTTAACATTTTGGTAAGTTTCGATTTCTTTTGATTTGAGTTGTTGTCAAGTTTCTGTGATGAATAACTGTTACAAATTTGAGTTTGAGCTGATATGTTGATGGATCCCCGAAAATATTGATTTGATTGCGTGGTCTTTTCAATTCAAAATGATATGCTGTTTGATTTTAATCTGAGAAAATGATTCGTCAACCTTGAATATGCTAATTCTGTTTCATTTTTGAGCTCGTTGGTTTGTGTCGATATATGTTAAAATTCAGCGTAATTGTGTTTTCCTGGTTGTGATGGAGTAGGATGTTAGCCTTGTACCGATACTTTATTGAATTTGAATAGGATTGACGAATGTTGCGTTAGTTTGGAGTGTTATGTTAAACCAGAATGTTGAAATAATTATGTCGATAACACTTTTTGTAGCGTGAAGATCATCATGTTGGTATTTGGTATCGAAACCGGATATCGAAATTCATGTAGACGTTATGATTTGTTTTTGTTGAATCTGTAATGTTTTCGATTTTAATGTGTAACGACAATACTGCTCTTGATTTTTATGTGGAGTGAAGTTATTATATGTCATGGTTTTGTTGGTTTCAATTTGAAGAAGTTTCAGTGACTGTTTTGGTTGTATTCGAGTTTGACTTGAAGTATGGAAATCTTGGTTACAATATTGATGGTTTTCTGATAGCTCAACTTTTCCGCTATAGTGTTCAACACCGCTAAGGCTCTTCCAATAGTAGTCGGCCTCCGCTCTGCTATAGCGGGATATCACCGCTGTTGGCCTTTATTGACTACTTTGAGTCCAATATCAATGCATTTATTTGCATATGAATCATGATCTAAAGTAACTATATTGGTTTAATGCTTTTTTTGGATATTAGTCTAACTTTATGATAAGAAATCCGTGTAATTGGTAGAAATAATAATTCTCTTTCTTACTACCAAATTTGGACATCTTTTGTGTTATATCGTTTGGTTTCAAATGATAATTTTAGTTGTAACATTGACTGCTTTCCCGTTTTATGTGTAGTTGCTGCCCGATTTCATCGCTGCTGCTGCATCTCT